CAACTTTTTTTTTCATAGAATATTTTCTATGACATACACTTGATTTATTTATTTCCTTTTTTTTATTAATAAATAAAAGTTCTTTACAACAAAAAAGTTTAACGATCATATTAATATTACATTAAAAGAAAATCATTACCAAATTTGGTCGTGAGATTCGAAATATTGTATATAACACGAATATTATTGTTGCACTTCTGACCATAACTTTCAAATTTAAAAAATAGGCTCCCTTTTTAAAGCTGAATTGAATGGTGGTGAGTTTTTAAAATCCAATGTGTGGAACACATAATATTTCAAAAATTTTTGAATATAGATGATCCGCACTGTAAAAGGCTGTGGTGTTGATCAACAACATACAGTCAAATTCATAGGTTCGGCACAGTAAATTTTATGAATTTATCGAATTATTCCAATTATCGAGATTTTATTATTACTATAAAAGGATAGGATTTTTATAAAATGAATGGGATTGACTACTTATATATGAATTTAAAGAGCGAGATTTCATATATGGTGACATATACAAAAGTCAGAGAGTTATGAATTTATCGAATTATTCCAATTATCGAGATTTTATTATTACTGTGACACTAGTTCCTGAAAAATTATGAATTTAAGGAATTATGAATTTATCGCATATGAATTTAACGATCTTTGACTGTAATCATGCACGAATTATTATAACTAAGCGAAACTTTCGACGACAACAAAAGATCCGTAAAAAAAAGCCTTTTGCCTGTTTTGATATTTATATTAAATTTAACAATTAGTAATTATCAGCAATAATTCGGCTGAACATAAAATCTTTAAAATGGATGTTAATGTGCTCAATGTTGCACACTTTTTCCAAAGATGATGAAAAAAAGTCTAGATTTCAATAGCATATAACAACGTGAGAAGATTCAGGTCAGTTCCAGGGTATACCATTCGAAATGCTCTTTTCCACGTCTCAAAAAGTTTGTCGGAGTCACAACATACTTTATTTATAGTAATAGTAATGGTAAAAAAATTACAAAAAATATAATCGTATTGAGTCAATAATAATAATTCTCAAACAACAATTTCCCATTTATTTATGCGTTTGTATTATATAGCATAAACAAAAGAATAAACAAAGTTTTCTACTATATCTGACAGAGAAAATAAATAGATAATTAATTAATTATAATTATAATAAAGGATAAGAATATTGTAATGCCATAAATATTGTTTTCACCAGACAGAGAAGAATTAGCATTTAATTTTGACAGAGAATTTATTTTTTGCAAATTGCCAAAAAAATATATAAAAGTTTTGTAGATAAATGATTTTGAATTAGAGAACCAAGAGAATATA